CAGAGGACAACGGAGGACCGAAGAGCCTGGTATGATGTGGTCCATGGGGTCGCAAAGAGTCAGACTTGACTGTGCGACTGTACAACAACAACAACAACAACAACAACAAATTGTGCTGCTGTTTTAATATGTCAGGTTTCTGGTCAGCTTTAGTTTGCTTGCTTTGAGCAACAAGGAAAAGCAGTATAGAAATATAGTCAATAAATATAGGAAAAGTATTTCCATGATGACTGGACTCTGTCCTGTCCAATGTTCCCTCTAAGCTGTGGAGTGCTGTGAGCGAAAATTCCACTTTGTGAGCTACTGGCACTAAAGCTGTGAGCAAGCAATTTGGCTACTGCATAAATTTATTTGCTCTGGAGCCATCCTTCCTGAGCTAAGACAAAAATGTGTGCGCTGGAGGCTAAAAAACCATGAGCTGGCTCACACTAACTCAGCTTAAAGGAAAAAGTGGTCCTGTCCCAAAGATGCTTAGAGGTCTGAAAAATCCCAATGTAAGTAAAGCATAAATCACTTCTCTATAAACAGTGAACACAACTGCAGAGTGGGATATAGGAAGAAATAAAAATAAACAAGTTGATTTTGAAAGGCGATCCAAATTTGGCAGGAATAGGAAGCGCTGGGGTGTGTGTGTGTTGAGAATGATGAACAGCGGTTGTGGAACGATTGACAGCCCGTGGCCCAGGAGGACTATGGATGGGAGGTGGCTGGCTGGATTTGCTCCCTCACAAGGCGGTGGCCGCCGGCAGAACCCTCCCAACAGCCAATGACCAAAGGAGAGAAGGAGGGGACAGAAGAGCGCGCTTCACGCGCACATTGTTTACGGTCGGCTCCTAGCAACCGAAAGCCGCGGCAGGCCTGGCGTCATGGTAACCACTGCGCGCCGTTGCTCCGAGCCCGGCGGCAACGGCTTCTGCCTGGATTTCTAAGGACCGGTTCTCATCTGGAAGGTACCGAGCCTGCGAGAAGAGGGTTTTTTCCCCTTCCCGGGACGGCGGGGGTGGGGTGGCGGCTGGTTGTTCCGAGAAGGGCTTTTGTGAGGGACTTCGGCTCGCCAGACGCTCCCGCCGCCAGTGGAGAAATGAGCGTGTGAATGTGGCGTTCACTCCGACTGGGAGGTTGTGAGGAGCACCGTGCGCGTTGGTCTCCGGGGGGAATTCCGCCCCCCCCAAGCCCGTGACTGAGAGGTCCGCTGCATGTTTGCTGAGTCAGTAAGCTCCACTTCCTTCAGTAGAGGTTAGTGTGTATAGCATTGCAACTGCAATTCGGCGCACCCATTTACTTGAAAGTAGATACTGACTAACAGCACAAACGTATGCAGAGGGCGAAATTCACATAAGTTCCGATGTTCAATATATGGTGATGGGATCTGCTGAGACCGAAGCTGAAAGAGATCTTTGGGTTGTCCTGGGCAGCTCGTTGAAAATGTCAGTTCAGCGTGCTGCCACGGTGCAGAAGGCAAACTTCTTAGTGGGGATTATTAGGAAATAATTATTATTAGGAAAGGAATTGGGACCCTGATATAGATCTGTGATGCAACCTCATTTGGAATATTTGTTTGCAGTTCTGGTTATTGCATCTCAAAGAGGACATTGAGGAAGTTGGAAAAAGTGCAGAAGAGGGCAACCAAAATGATTAGGATGCTGAAGTACCTTTCCCAGGAGGAAAGTCTGGGATTTTCCTTTGATTATTGTGGTACTGACTTTCCAAGAGATATAGTGATGGACCATGATCATAGATTACTTTAAAAGGGAGTGTGATGGACTATCAAGGGTTAATGCCTATGAGAACCTTTGAGTGACAAGCAGTTTGAATGAATTCTGTTGAGGGAGTCAGTTAAGGAATGACAGTTGGGAACTGACAATTGAAGATGAGTTAAGCACTGAGTGTGGACTGGGAAGGAGGCTAAGAGAGTGAGTGGATCAAGGAGAATCCTCATTCAAGCACCCCCCCTGAAATAGCTTATAGTAAAGAGAAGTGATCCCTGCCCAGTTAAATAGCTTCTTGAAAAGAGGAGCAACCCCTGGTTTGTGTATAAAGAAGGATTTTGGGAACTTGGTTGTATGTTCCTGCCTTTATATGTGTTGGTGAAACTCAGAAACCTATGCTTGAGTGTTTAAGCAGAAACTGAAAAGAAAGCCTCTCCAAAGTTTTAAAGACCTTGTTGAATAGCATAAACACTTGTTGGCAATAAATTATCTGGTATTTTTGTTACTACAAAGTTACCTCAGTTTTATTATCTGTTCACCTCATACATCCTACACCTGATTCCACCTGACCTTTTCTCCTCCAAGTTAAATAAAACATTTTGTTTATTTTGAACTTTTAAAAGCCTCTTGTGTGCCATTTCAAAAGCAGAGTAATACATCAACTGAGTGGAACAGCCATAGACAAAGAAATAAGAAGAAAATAAAGGGGCTGCTCAACAAGACAGAAGGGGAATTCCTGCATGTGAGGGAGGGAAATGGTCATAGGGGGTTAGACAGATTCATGGAGGATAGGTCAGTCTGTGGCTACTAGACCATGGCGAGCAAAAGGAACAATATTCAGAGGCAATAAACCTTTGAATACCAGTGCTAGGAGGCAACATATGAGGGAGGCTTTGGCTTATCTGTTCTGTTTGTTAGCTCTCTGGGACAATTGGCTGGCCACTCTGTGAGACTATATGCTTACCTAGATAGACCACTGGTCTGATCCAGCAGGTTCTACTTATACTCTTATGCTGGACAGGATGCTGGACAAGATGTTCTGTTCCAGCAGGACTTGTGACTCCAGTCTAAGCCTGTTTATTTGAAGTAACTCTCCACAGGACTGCATTGTCATTGGGATTTTCCTTCTGAGTAAATGGGCATAGAGTCCATTCCATTGAGATTTGCTCACAGGCAAGCAAGTATACATAAAAATGGGTGAGCCCTACAACAGGACTCTTACATTCATCCCTTGGATTCTGATGACTTGTAAGAGGTATCTGTCTGCCCAGCCATCCTACCCATTCACAGAGGGAAGGAAATAGGGTGTGGAATGCTCAGCATCCCTCTCAAAAGTCCCCAATGAAATCATTTGAGGTGTCTGTGTGTGTGTATAAGTCACAGCTGACTTATGATGATCCCTCATAGGGCTTTCAAGGCAAGAGATGTTCAGAGGTGGTTTGCCATTGCCTGGGTCTGTGTTGTGACCCAGGACTTCCTTGGTGGCCTCCCATCCAAATACTGACCAAGGCTGACCCTGCTTAGCTTCTGATGAGATCAGGCTAGCCTGGGCCATCCAGGTCAGGGCAGCCTGCAGAGGAACCCGTTAAGGCCAGTGATTCCAATAGCATGCCTCAGGACTTGTGAGCAGGCTTAAAGGAGCTAGAGCTATATGGCTTTGCTCTCACCCCATACCGTTAGAGTGTCACCTTAGCTGCAACAGCATTAATCTGCGTTTGTGCTGAGACAACAAAATCCAACATTGTAGGATCAGGATTACTTGTGAAGAAGACAACGCATTTAAGGAAACTTCTCTTGGTGGCTGCTATGGTTGAGGGGGATGCTGGTTGCTGTTCCAGGCACAGTGGTGGTGGACTAGGTTCCCTCTAAGCTGTGGAGTTTTGTGAGCAGAAATTCTACTTTGTGAGCTGCTGGCATTAAAGTTGTGAGTGAGTGATTTGGCTGCTGCATGAATTATTTTGCTCTGGAGCCCTCCTTCCTGAGTTGAAACAAAAGCTTGTGAGCCGGAGGCTAAAAAACTGTGAGCTATCTCACACCAACTCATCTTAGAGGGAACACTGGTGGTGGACATTGGCAGCTGCTGCAGGCTCAGCCATGGGGGTGGATGCTGGCAGCTGCTGCAGGTCTGGCGTTGAGAGATGTGGATGCCAGCAGCCACTACAAGCCCGGGTCAATGGTAGTGAACTCCAGCTGCCAGGCTCAGTGTTGAGAGTTGGGGCCTGGAACCTTGCTGGCTCAGCAGTGGGGTGGATATCAGATTCCCCTCCCCCCAAGCAATCTCATGGGCCCTCCCTTGTAGGTTATAATGTCATAATGATCTATTGCCACAATCTACTAGTTCCTCTGAATTCCCAGCTTTCATAGTAAAGAAGTCTCTAGCCCTTTTCTTCGTAGCAATATAAGGGGAGCACCTTTTCTCTTCCATCTCCACAACAAAACAGGCTAGCTACTTACATTTTAAAAATGAGAACAGGAAATTCAGAGGAGTTACAGGATAGTGGCACTAGGGCTGAGTTCAGACTGGCAGTTTGAAGCACGAGGGAATCGTGGCAAAAAAGACCCGGAACAACTTGTTCCAGGTATTCCCAGTCACACTGCACCAACTGATGCGGGAGCATACCGGGAGGAGCCACAAGGGAGCGTTCGCAGTGTTGGCCCGGAGGCGCGCCTGTAAGTGGCCTTTTCTCTGGCGACATGTACCTATGCGCATCAGCAATTATCAATGCGGCTTGTTCGCACGGCTTTTAGCATGCACACGTCCGGGAAGCAGTATGAACACGCTCTCCAGGTTTTGCTACCACTTTCACCTGGTATTTTTTAAACTCGGGAGGGAAGCGTTACAAGATGGGTTGAGTACGGCTGGGGAACACCTGACAGATGTGCATGTGTGAATGGCCTGTTTAATCCGTTTGTGAAACATTTCTGAAACGTGCCTATATCGGGCCAAACTGCCAGTCTGAACTCGGCCTAGGTTGTTACAATTCAACAGTGATCTATTCAACAGTGATCTAGCAGTTGCTGATTTTTAAAAAGCCCTCTAGTGGCCTAAGGGACCTGAACCAAGGAGAGAGCTGGGAAAACTGTTGAGTGGACATTCCAGTGCCACTATGAATGCCTCTGCATTTGCATTGACAACAAAAGCTGCATGGAGAGTAATTGCCATGTGGAAGTAGTACATACCATGTGTAAATGCTATCCGAGTCACTCACTCAACCTCTTTCTAAAACCTGCTTAATAACTAGCAATCTTTTGCCTGTCCGTTTTCTAAGGTGTGTGAACTGAGCCTTTGCCATGGGCGTGGCACTGACAAGAGCAGCTCAGTGGACTACTGCTGGTTCTGGGACTGGCACACTAGAAATCACGCCACTGAATGAATCTCTGCTAAATGAAATAATTAAGTTTACTGAAAGCTTCAGCAGCAAACACCCTCAAGAAGCTGCTTTCACCTTCAAGGAGCCACTTGAATGGCAGACACAGCTGGAGCCTTCTGCATTTGAATCAGGCTACGAGGTCAGGTAAGAAAGGGTGGGATAAAAATGTAACTGCAAGGGCCTTAGTATGGCAATGGTGTATAATGAACCAAAGCTAACCAGGTTTGTTGGACAAGGTGCTACATTTGTTCTCAAGCATCCTTTGGGTATGAGTAGCTCAAGCCTATATCCATGTCTCTAAAAGCCTGTTCTTGGGTACTGTCCTGGTGTGACCATCAGATTAAACTTAGGGCAGCACTGTCCAATCCATGTACATTTTAAACTAGCTCCTATTACACTTTGTGGATGGATTTCTGTTAGCAAGACTGCTGAGAGAGAGAGGAAAATGTTTGTTACAAAAAAACCTGACATTTTGAGACTAGGATAGAAGTTGGCAGGGCTCTAGTCGGGGGGGAGACTGCTGAGAGAGAGAGGAAAATGTTTGTTACAAAAAAACCTGACATTTTGAGACTAGGATAGAAGTTGGGTTTCCTCCCCAGGAACATTCCCAAGTGCATCATTTTACCTTTTCCTGTATATATGAAGAGCAACCATTTACTGTTATAAGATAGAGTGCCTTGTCAGGACCACATTTTATGTCATGGAGGGCATGAGATACAATCTTGATATTAGGCATCCAGTCCTTAAGTAGAAAATGTCCTTGAGGTGCTCAGATAAAGGCAGTGTGACATTGTGGTTAGAATGACAGACTTGAGTCAAAATGTCCACTCAGCCATGAAAGCTCACTGGGCGACCTTGGGCCAGTCACTCTTTCTCAGCCTCACCTGTACCACAATGAGTTCCTTGAAAGAAGGATGGGACAAAATTGTACTTGAGATACCAAAAAGTACTGGGTTCGACGCATGGAGAACTCAGACTACAACATGCATTCAGACGCGTTTATTGTGCTTCACAACAAGACCAAAAAAACGGCCCTGCAAGGCCAACTATATACACTCCACCCGGCACACCTCTGTCCCCACTGGAGGTTTTGAATTTCCCGCCAAGGGTTCTATTGGTGGACTCTAGGTGGACTAGGATCCTAGGTCCCCTCCCCTTTGTGTTTGGGGACCAAGCTCCTGCTTAGCTGCGGACCCCTGGTGGCGGTCTGCGTACATAACAGATACATTGTGCCTATTTTTCAAATATTAATCATATTATCTGTAGCATGTCAGAAATTTACAAAAAATAAAGTCAGACCCTGCCAATAAAGTTATATTCTCATAGATCTGTGTCTCTAAGAGAGGGGAGGGAGATGCAACTGGGTATCTGATTCTAAGTCCATTCACTCTCCAAGCCTTGTATGAAGGTGAACGATTCTGGACATAAATTTGAAACTCTTTGTGCCCACTTCTCTATTATTCAAATTGCAACTTCACCTCTCCATATCTTTAGCAAAGTCTATATATTGCCAAATTCTGCATGTGCTTTAATCACAGTTTCTCAGCAGTGTTTTTGTAGCTGCTGCCCATTCAGAAGTTTTAGTGTCTGTGTTTATTCTTCTAGAGAAAAAAAAGTTCAGTCCCAGGAAACAGACAAAGATGGACAGCCGTTGCTCGAGCTCTCTGGATCAACCATCAAAGTTCGCAGCTTTGCACAGCTGTCTCATTTGCTGTATGTCGCTGGGGAAAAAAGGCTAAAAGAAGCACAAGCGTGCCTTCAAGGTAACATTTTATACCGTTGCTGCTTTAGTTGAAACTTTACCACAAGCAGACACTGGTGTATATGCAGTAAATGTAACTGCTGTATGAGCTGGGAATTAGCCTTTGCTATTCAGGACTTTCTGCTTATAAACTGTAGTTCTTCTGATTTACACAGGGATTCCCCCACAACTTATTTTGTCTTCCTGCCCTATCGTTTGGCCCAGAATCAGAATTTGGTGTTGCTCTACCCTGTTCTTGGTCTTACAAGATCTTAACTGGGTAGCCCAGGCAAGCCCAATCTCGTCAGATCTTGGGAGCTAAGCAGGGCCGACCCTGGCAAGTACTTGGATGGGAGACCTCCAAGGAATACCAGGGCCAGGATGCAGAGGCAGGCAATATCAAGCCACCTCTCTGAAACATCCAAGCCCCACTAGGGGTTGCCAGAAGTCAACCATGACTTCCAGGCACGCAAACATACACACACACAAATACTCACCCCAAAAAAGAAGAACTTAACTGCTAGGAGAATCCCACAAGAAGGACAATTCATCTTGGTTCAGAACAAACAACAGTGTTCTTAGAAAATTCTTAATTAAATTATTTTTCATTTCATCCCATTTCATAAATAGTTACTTCTTGACAATCTGAATCTTGACAATCATGACATGTCCTAACTTGATGTTCTGTTGAATTTTTGCACCAATATGAATAACTTGCAGTCAATAGAGATCCCATTGTGAAAATTCTTGGCCCTGGATATGGGACCATTGAAGGAGAGGATATGTCCATGCTTCGTTTATTAGACAAAGTGAAAAAAGATGATGCTGCTGATACCGAAATGAAAATGAAAATTTCCCTTCTTCTCCAGCAACTGGATATGCAGCTACTCAACAGCTCTTTGAAACAGATTTCACGGTGAGTATATTTCAAACAGAACTCATAGCTTTTTAACAAATGAGGTTTTATTCTCGGTCTGTAAATCTAAAGTAGTTCTTTGTTTAGAGCCCCAGAATGATACCAGAGTGATTTAGGCAATTTTGTAAAAACAAAAGTTATTAAATGGCTTCTCAAAACTGGGGCAAGTAATTGACAATTTTCTGTACCTTTGCAATACAGACATGCACATCGCCAGTGTGGGGTAGTAATTAATCAGACTAGGATCTGGGAGGTGCAGGTTGAAATCCTCACTCTGGTACGGAAACTTGCTGGGTGATCATGGGTCAGTCACCCTCTTTTACCCTAACCTACCTCACAGGGTTGTTGCAAACATAAAATGGAGGAGAGGAAAACAACGTAAACCGCTTTGGGTCCCCATTAAGGAGACAGGTGTGGTACAAATGAACTAAATAATAAAATATTATTATATATTCATAAAAATTTCCAGTGGTTGTAGGAGCAGAGGGAACGGTACGGAGCAAGGTTAGCTACACCTGACTCAACTAGATTGTTTACATGTAGAAGCTAAATGATCAATGAACAAAAATATCTTGTGGATGGACAAATTTGCATATTACCAGTATGTCAACAAATATACTTTTGGAGGATACTGGGAGAAGTGTATGATAATTTACAGCTTAATAAACAAAGGCTACCACTTGTTATTTGAAGAAAAGTTCATTATTTATTTACTGCATTGATCATCCACCTTTCTTGTTCAGACTCAAGGAGGACTACAGAGTTTTTAGAACAAAGCAAAAAGACCAGCATCATTCAGATTTTCTTTTTCATTCCCTGTTGCAGTAACACAGTGTAGCCAGAATGGCTCCTATTAACTTAAAGTGCAATCCTAAAAAGACCTTCTAAGTCCACAGAAGACAATAGGTTTAGACGGGTGTAACTCAGTTTAGGATTGCACTGTTGCATTTTCAGTAATCTAACTTTTCCATTAAACCTGTTAATGCTTACGGTCCTATTTATTACCAGTCTGAGAAAGTTAAGGGGTCTCTGGAGTGCAGCCAATGAGGCATTGTCATTCAATATTTTTTTAAGTATGTGCAAGTCTCAGTAAAAACTAATGTACTTCCAATCTTTTCTGTATGCTGGATATAAATTTGGTTTGTTTAAGAAAAATCCAACATTTTCTTCTGTTTCCCCCCCTCACTGAATTATGTTAACTGTCCTCTCAGATCTTAGAACGTAACTACTTTATCCTAATTACAGAGAAGTAAGATTAACTCCCGCTGCTGTGAAAAATGAAGTAGATCTGCTTAAGCGTTTCTCTGGTGCAAGGGAAAATGCAGTCCTTGAATCGCTGGAATATACATCAGGTCCAAACTCTTCTTTTATGTCTTCTGGTCATATAATTGTTATTACACATTCAAGACAGATATAAATGTAACTATAGTTAAATGACCGTGCCCTGGGAGGATCCATCTTGCTAGAAACTCCCATAATTCAATGTGAATTCTGTGACACCTCAAAGATGAGTACATTTATTGCCATCTGTTTTTGTAGGCTACTCTTAAACCTGCTTCATCAGATAGCTTGTGATTTGGGATCTCTGCATGGCCTATGTCCACAAACTCTTTATGCTGCATATATCCCTCCCCCTAGTGACTGAAGAAAGATCTCCAGATTATGCTGTTCCTTTGTGTAATATTATAATCCAAATTTATTTTATGCTTCTTTACTAGCCATGTAGTTTAAAAAATGGACCAAAACACTGCCGCTGTGTAATTACAGACTATGAATTCTCGAATGGATGCCGTGCCCCACCTTGGAGACAAGTCCATGGGGAAATTTGCTACTTGATCATTAAACCATGTGACTCAGATGCTATGTATGTCACTTGCAGCACGGCAGGAGTATTTTTAAATGGAGTAAGTAATACAGATATCCAAAGGCAAATCATAGCATTATAATGCTCACGTTTTTGGCTAAATAGTAAACAACTGGAAGTTGTTTTACATACAGTTTGGTTCCCAATCCAGTTTGTGAGCATCATTTTAGATTCTAGTACTTCTGGTTGAACCTTTGAACCAACTGCCAAGGGGAAATGTGAATTGTAATGACATACATGCTGTACCATTTGGTCTGCAATATGGCTAAAGAGGCAAGTCAAGGAACACTTTCTTTAGTCACTAAGGAAGCTGTTCTGTGACTTGCTGCTTTATCCGTAGTGATTACTCAAACAATACAGAAATCGTGCCATCATACTAACTTTCTCCCCTGCGCAAGGGACCATTGCGTTCAACGTTAATCATTTCCACCTTTTCCTTAGGCAGGCACTAGACAGTCAACAATTATAGCACACAAAAGTTTTTATGCTCATTTAACTTATTTCATACTCTTATATTAGCTGTTCTTTATGCTATACTGTTGAGCTATGTTGTTTGTAGTCCAGCAGATGAATTAGAAAATAAATCTCTTTCCTTGATTATTGTAATGATTCTAGTGTATCAATGTTATTCATTGGCAAAATGATAGATTTCTTGAGTAATGTTATTGTTGTTTTTTTTAAAAGCAACACTGCTGAGAGAAATATGTGATTGCCAAACTTGGGGTGGGGGGAGAAAAGCCTTAATGTTGTGAGCCTCGTATTGAATGGGCAGCTGTGCCAACTTTGAATCTGGAGAACAGAGTGAACCACACTAAATCATTTCAAGACTTGGTCTGTGTTCCTGAAAAGTGAGTGAAATGTTGTGAGTGTTTCAAGAATATGCAAGGCTGTGGAATAAAATAACATTTGCTGCTTTTGCAGGGAAGAGAAAAAGAAAGAGATGAAATCAACTATGAGAGAAAGAGTGACATATATAAAGACCTTGTCACGTTTTTAAGGGAAAGATCAGCAGCATTTGTAGAAAATATGGCTAAACAGGTATGTGTTGGGTTTGATCCCACTAATGCATCCCACTAGCATAGGTGCTTTCCTCCAGTGGAAGGAACTTGCCCCGTGTCTTGCGTTGGTGAATGCTTCTTACATTGGAAGAAACTGTATTAGTGGAACAGCTGCACAAGATAAAAACCATTAACTTGTACTGGACCATGGATAACCTATCTTAATACAATGTACTTAAAGAGTAAAATGTGTGAAATAGTTTTTGCTGTTTCTGTTTCTGTTATGGCTTATTCTGTATATGTAATATCTTTTTGCATGGTACAGATTACATATATGTCACCTCATCTAACAAGGTTAGTTCCATACTGAAATAATGTTTAATTACAACCAAACTAACTTACCTGGGAAACACATCCAACCCTGATTTAGGGTTGCTACACAAGGATATAGTTGGAGCAATATTCAGAATATAAAAGAGAGAGGGAGAGACTTCTAAGTACTAAAGTCAGCTTATTAAGTAGAAAAGGCAGATACAGAAGGGCAACTTGCAGTTTAAAGCAAAATTGTCTAAAAAATTCCTCTACCCTTTGCCGTCTGTGGCCCTGGGATTTTAGGGGTTCTGTGATCACGCCTTCTGACATTTTGTTTAGCATTTAAAAAATAGTGGTGGGACACAGAAAGGTTAATTCCCCCTCATGCTGTCCAAAGAGTTTCTATTATGCACTTCTATGGCTATTCTATTAAAACTTAAAGTAACATTTTTATACATTTTTGTCATTTGCATTACCATATATGTGAGATCAAGCACAGTGTTCATGAATCAAAAGTACAAATTGAACAGGTAGTTTTAAGCAGTTGTCATTATTGCTTGTGCAGTGCCTAATTACAGTCACTTTGTTTCCAGCTGCACAGTGTGAAGTCTTTTTGTAAAAATACCTACAAGAATTGTGTGCAATGGCAAATGTTTGATAACTTCAAATACTTCTTTTGCTACTGGAAGACCAGCATTTCATGTGTACATGTTGAGTTTAATCATTAATGGTTAATAGGTTTTGTTTCTTTAATTGCTGCTGGTAGTTCTGATAAAACATTTGTATCAATGGCTGAGGAGCGTTCTACCTGATTGGCTTCTGACTTTCACTCCGGCCCTAAACACATTTATTTGGAAGCTGCATTGCTTTTGATAGAACTTGCCTAGCAAGTGAGCTTAGAATTGCAGCAGTTCTTCTCAGCCTTCAGCAGATGGTTTTCCTTTGAGCAGTAGTATAACTTTTAAAGCAGGAAAATATCATATTTTAATGAAAAAGGTCAACTTTCTTTGACAATACTTTATATAATCAAAACCATTCCTCTATTTAACTTCACCCTTCTGACTTGAATAAAAAAAGAATATTCTTCATTTTACAAGAATTCTCTTTGATTTAAATGTCAGACACAAGTGGGTCTTCCAGCTCAGAGTGTGTCTTACCTCCATGCTACCGGAGCTCTAAAATTTAAGTGTTATTGGCTTTTCAGGATGAGAAACATATTGTACCCCTCAGAATAAAATTCATGCAGACAGTAGTTATAATTAAAGTTACCATATTCTTCTCAGAGCAACCGTTAGTCTTCAGATTTTCATTATTTGCAAATCTGGAGGAAAATTCATCATTACACTAAATATTGACCATGGTCCAAACGAGTTATTCTTCCCATGCAAGGGGGCTTACGGTCTCCTTTTTTTTTTTTTTTTTACTCCAGCCCTTTGCCTTCCAGTACAGGCTCTATTGGGTACAAAAGCTACAGCTAGAAGGGAAGCCCATCAGCCTTTCCAGGCCTGCACAGAAGCCTTTTAGGGGTTATGGAAGGGGTTCTTTGGATCCCACTGTTGTCAGGAAGGAGTTGGACAAACTTCTTTCTTGATATATATTACTGTTATTGGAACGAATATACCCAATACTGTATGGTAGGATATGGAATAATATTCTTTATTAAAATAATTTGAGATTATTTAGTTTGGAACACCCTATGGTTCTTGAAAATACTGGTTTTCCACACAGTCATCATTGTAAATTTAGTATCTGAAATCTCCTTTTTTGCAGACACTTGTGCTGCCCTATGCTTTTTGGAGTTAGGGAAGGATAAAATGAGATGAGTCAGTTGATAGGCAGATCGATAGAAACAGTATAGCTTCTTGTAATGGAGGATCCAAGCTCCATCTTGGGATATTTCTGAAACATTGGAAATGCTAGCTCTTACTTGTTTTTTATGCAGGTCATGTTGGTTTTCCTTGATTTTCAAAAAAACCTATGCTTTGTCAGACAATATTTTGTTATATATTATGAAAATCTAAAAACACAACACATTTCAGATGTTCAGGAAGTGAATAGCAGTCAAATTTGCGTTAATTGTAGCTACATATTTTAAAATCCTGTACTGTATTTTCCTCTTGGAGAGGGAACGCAGCACAGTGGAGCCTGATCTTGTCAGATCTGGAAAGCAAAAAGGGTTAGTTATTTGAGGAAAGACCACCAAGGAAGACTCTGCAGAGGAAGGCAGTGGCAAACCACCTCTGCTTCTTACTTGCCCTGAAAGCCCCTTGCTGGGGTCACCATAAGTTGACTGCAACTTGATGAAACTTTACACACACAGTTCCCTCTTTTTTTAACAGAACCCTGAGATTTGAGCACAGAGGACATTATATACTCTATAGAGTTGTACTGGTTTAAGAATCATTCCCTGTCCTCTGGGAAGCTGCAATTTTATTTATTTATTTATTTATTTATTTAAAACATTTCTCTGCTGCCTTTCCACTGAAATAGGGTCCCCAAGGTGGCAAACATTAAAACATTTCAGTATTAAAACAACATTTAAAATAAAGTATATATAAAATAATTCAATAGAAACAAAAAACAGACAACACCAAATCCAGGGAAGAGGGCCAATAACAGTTATTTGGGGGTATGCAAAACAAAATAAGTCTTTACCCTCCCGCAGAAGACTGTGGGAGATGCTGGGGATTATCACACATGTGAAACTGCAGTTCCCAGGATGCCTTGCCAGCTAAAATGGTATCAGTGTTTTTGTTGCAGATATGCCTAGGTGGATTGTTCGTTACACTTTCAAGAATTTCATGAGTTTTACTTTCATAGAATTTGAGTCACTGGTGGAAAAACAGAATAGCCAATGTTTCTGTTGAGTCTGCTTTAAATGCACATTAAATATACATAAGGATCTTTTTTAAAAAAATTGAAGAAGATAATCTTGCAAAGGGGGGAAGTTGTTAAAGCCTTAACACATTAACTTGTTGGAATGTTATATATGGTAAGACCAGAATATGGAGAGACACTTCAGTATGTGAGGTCTGGAATAGCTTTGCTTTATAACATATGGTAAGGAAACCATTTCCAAACAGTTTGCACATGTTCAGGCTCTTTAAGAGAACAGGAAGAAGAGAGATCTTCTGGTGTCTTTAAAAATCTCTTCTATGCTGTAGATTACAAATTCTCTCAGTCTCAACATTTCCATGCCTGGATGATATCTATTATTATTCCAAGCGTTGGGAAGACTCTTGTTTCATGACTTATTGAACCTGATTTTAGAGACTACAGCTGCTTGCTTAGTTACATCCATCAGACTATATTGTCTTGATCCAGTATGGGCGATTTGCCTACAGAAAAGTCAGTTGGTATATCCTGCTTTTACCCATCCTGGGGTCATATTGAGCTGTTGCACAGTATGTGTGCTGCCGAATACATAATATACATAACTGTGGACCTTTGAGAACCGAACTCAGTGCCCTGCTTCTTGTACCCTCTGTATATAGCTGTACAAGATTTTCAGATTCAGTAGCCAGGTGGAAGGAAAACCTACCAAAGATCTCTGCACCTACCAGAGATCTTAAAGAATCCACCCTGTACAGTCAGAGATCCAACTGATTTTGATGATGCCAAGAAAAAAAAGAGGGCAGAGATAGCTTAGGTAACTCACCATGATTAATAATTTCATCCATGTTTGGTCTTTTGTTGCTGTTGCCTTAAATGGCCAAACACCAGGAAAGATTTTTCATCACCTCCCTTGTGGACCCAAGGGTTTCACAATTCAGACAAAGATCTAAAAAAAAATTCCCACCAAGCCTCCTCAAAAATGCAAACCAAAGGGGAACTTTTTTGCAGCTTTAAGGGATTTATTCCTTAAAAGAATGATCTCACTGCTAATCAAGGCAGATAGAACTAGGCTCTTTCCGGTAGTAAACACTCTCCACTTTAATAATTTTTAATGTACAAGTTACTGTTTGTGTTATTTAAATAACTCATCTGGTCAACACCACCTGTCATAATGTAATTTACATTAACCAATTCATAAAGCATATTAGTATCAAAACTAAATTTAATAAATAAAAAATAGACATATTCACATGAATGAGTATAATGAAACTCCTTCATTAACAAAGGCACAATTTCCCTAATGATTTCCTTACCCTGAATGAATGCAGGCTAGGGTATGATTAATAAAATTCATAATAATAAATTCTGTAAATAAATAAAAATGCAAACAATTGACTAGACATCATTCTAATAATAATGCACATTGCACTAGGTATTTTCGATATAAAAAGATCTTCTCCAGAGTTATGAAATAATCATTAGTAAATGAATTGGTTCCCTCCCCCCCCTTAAATGTTATGGAGCTGAAGGGTTGTGGACGTAGTGCATGATGGTACAAAGAGACCAAAAGTCATAAAGATCATCTAGTAATGGCGGTTGCTTCCAGACTGAGCTCTTGCTCTGTGATCTCACCCAACTGTAGCAGTTTTTAAACTGGGCTTCCACATGACATTATCATGTGGTCATCCACCTTCTGGTTTCCCCCAGCTCTACTCTACAGTTTCCAAACCCTGCTTGTTACAATCTTTCCAGAAAGATAGTTCCACGAAGTGGGGGCAGAGTGTAGACAGGAAGGTGTGGGCTTTGGTGCATCGCCATCCTCTTCTGGTGCCATTTCCTCCCCGTTACAGTGGATATTTTGACATAGTTTTAATTGGTAGTAGATACATCATGATAGCATCCTAACACAAGAGTGATATTCCTTCTACAGATTTTTTTAAAAGGCAAAAATCTTGCCAGAGCAGAGGGGGAAGAAATGGTTAGTGTGAGGGAAAAGCATGGGGGGGAAATCCTGTGTTGGATGCTTCCTTTGCCTCTGTGCATGTCTCTGCATCACAGCTGCAATGAGAGCAAAACAGGGAATCACCCTCATGCGACAGCAGCAATCTCTGTGTTTTGCTCCATGTGACATAGTACATACCTAGTTTACCTTTGTGCAGTTCGCTTCCATATTGGGGGGAAAGCCATCCCTTAGCATGCCATGTAATTCCTTTTCTCTGTTTTTATAAAAAGAAATCCAAAGCATTCATAAATAGAAGTGGTAAATGAGCATTCAAAGATGATAGCATTGAATATGCGAGGGAAGGATCCTTGCACACAGCAGTCTCTGTGCAAGTATCTTTAGATTGACATTATTGACTTCAGTGGGGAGTTGCCTGCACAGCTAGATGCAGAAAAATCAGGCTTGCAGGGCTCCCCCCCCCCCTTAGGCTGAATCTGGAGGTTCATGGAAAGTGATTTGGGAAATAAGTTGTCAGGATACAGGACCTGAGCTTCTATATATTTCTATATCCTGTTATCCTTAATGTTAAGGGAATCCATTCTGTTCATTCTTGTAATTCTTCCCTCTTCTGCTGCATATCACATCTGAATTAGAATATTCTGGATCTACCATTAACACAATGAAAAATCTACATCTGTGCACTTCTCTTCCTTTCAACAATTGTGTCTAACCCCACCCATCAAAAACCTTCTGCTCTTGGTGATGTAAGGCAAGAATCTAATGGGCAGATGGTCATGTCACTTGTTTTTTGTATATTATTGGAACCAATATCAGTTGCTTTTTATAGGTTGCTGGGAGACCACAGGGCCAAACTACACTTTACTTTGTCCATTAGTTAGCTATGGGGAATTGCAGCCATATTGCAACTGTTCCTGGTGGCTACTCCATTTAAAAGGTTATTTATATTCTGTCTTTCTTGCTGAGACTCAAGGTGGAGTACATAATGTATAAGTCAAGTGCAATCAACAGGATTGGATATCCCATGAATAGGACAATAGGGTTTGAAGCCTTTGGACTACAGAAATCTGAAAAGGAGCAGAAATCTAAAAGGAGCTGAACCAACCTGAAACAAGTCATAAGCATTTATGCTGAAACTACCTGGTCTGGAGCGTACTTATAGTATTTCTTTACAAATGCAACTTTCTGAACCATTTCATTACAGAACAGGTCTATTTACCTGTGCAAAAAAACATAATAATTGAATAATTCCATTTTGCAAGTTTGCGGAAAACCAGGAGAGTGGGAGCCTTCCTAACTTTATCAAAGAGATCATTCCATGAGGTGGGGGCCACCACAGAGAATGCAGAAATACTGGGAGCTATTGATTTTGTAGGATAGCACCTGCAGAAGGTCCTGCTAAGATGAGTGAAGTTGTCGGGGTAGAACACAGGGAGAGAGGAGATCCTCCAGATATGAGGGCCGTGGCTTTTTACGTAGTAGTCAATACCTTGAATTGAAACTAATAAATGAGAGGCAGCCAGCCAATGGAGCGGCTGCAGAACTGGAGTAGTATGCATGTTCCACCTGACTCCCAATACTGAAGAATGTTTAATCTCCTCAGCTACTTCCTCCAAACCACTAACTTGATCTTCACGCAACTGGGGCTGTCACTTGGTTTTATAAGTGGAAGATCCTAATAAGTAAGATATTTTGCAATGAAATATATATAAAATACAGAAGAAAGAGAGGTCTTTCCACTGAAGCAGAAAGTTTCATTCATTCCTTTAATTGGTCAGCTATACGGTTAATAAAAGAAGAAAAAGAAGAAGAAGAGTTTGGATTTATACGCCACCCTTCACTACCCAAAGGAGTCTCAGAGCGGCTTACAATCTCCTTTCCCTTCCCCTGCCCACAACAGACACCCTGTGAGGTAGGTGGGGCTGAGAGAGCTCTGACAGAAACTGCTCTTTTTCAAGAACAGCTGTGCCAGAACTATGGCTTGCCCAAGGTCATCCAGCAGTTGCAAGTGGAGGAGTGGGGAATCAAACCCGGTTCTCCCAGATTAGAGTCTGCGCACTTAACCACTACACCAAACTGGCTCTCAGTTTGAAGATATTTACTGTGCATCTTTCTTACTGCTGCATTAAGTAATACCATTCTGTATTTAAAAAATATATCTGGGTATGAAAATACAGTATGTTATAGTATGTATATGATAATGTTCTTGGCTGAAATTAACAATCTGAATGAATAGTAAGAAATGAGCCAGTCACGTACTGAAAAAGTATAATGGTCAACATTAAAATTAAAAGCTCACCTCCTGTAAATGAGACCATAAAAGGAAGCTAATCTGCCCCGTTTTGGCATTTTGGATAATGTATAGTCACAAATGTGTAATCAGTCCCTGTAAAGGGCCAAATAATGCAGCTGCTGTAAAAGGGACGGTATCAGATTTAGTACTATTCTCTGCCACATCCAAGAAACTGCACACAGTGACAATCTGTTTGAGTATTAGTGTATCGGCCATCAGTATTGCTTGGAATTTAGGCTTGTAAATGCCTTCCAAAAGGATGGTTCAAGTTGCAAAAATAAGCCTGACAACAGTACCCATAATTGAAAAGAAAGTGCCACCTCAGAAATTTAGTGAATTTAATAGTAGCCATATCATTGACAGCTTCATGATATGGGGGGCTCATGCGTTATACCTAGTTTGATCCTCAGAGTGTGAAAGAAGAGAAATCCAAGCATTCATATTGGTACATATCCTGAAATACCAAGGTGGGGGTTGGGTTGGGTTACCCCCCTCCTTTTATGGCCTCTGTTGTGGCTGACAAGTTATTTGATCTTAAGTGGACCACTGCATTTTGGTTATGCCCTTCCCTCATTTCTAAGTATTCATTCAAATAGATAGTCTTAGTTCCAGCTAGAACATTATCATACATGTTCATTTTAAACAAGTGAACCCTCACTCATTTCAGCAGGTTTTGGATTTGCTTCTGAGCAGTGGGTTGGATCCAGCCAGCGTTTTCACACAGTCTTGCCCAATTCTTCTCCTGACTACAGCCCCCATCCCACATGGCTTTTGTATGTGTAGGTTCCCTGATTCTCAGCGTACCTGTTTTGAAGGTGATCCCTTCTTCCCTTTTCATGAGCAGAAAACTTGGTTGGATCCAACCCCATGCTTGGTGTTCACTCACTATAGCTTGTTCACTAGGAGGAAAATTTGTATCAAGGTACTTACAGCTCAGGTTTTTTTCACACTGTTATCAGGTCTGATTTATCCATTATGCACAGCAGGCACAGTGCCAAGGACCCACAATACATTTAGGGGCCCACGAAAATGTTTTAATTTCTTTCAAAATCAAAAAAAAAGTTACCTTTTAGGGTCGAAGAAAATGTTTTAATTTTTTTCTCACATCAGAAAAAAAATGAAATGTTTAGGGCCCACAAAGATTTATTAAATTTTTGCCTAAAACAGAAAAATATAAAATGTTGAAGTATTTAAAGTTATATCAGAAATAATGTTAATATAATTATTATGCTGGGAGGGGCCCACAAAGGCAAAAGTGCCTAGGGCCCACAAAAGCCATAATGCAGTCATGATTCTTAGGGTCACTGATAGGCAGTACGTTCAGAACAGACAGAAGGAAATACTACTTTACACAGAGAGTAATTCAAATGTGGAATTTGCTGCCAGAGGATGTAGTGATGGCCACAGGAATAAACAGCTTTTAGGGCTGCCAAAAGCCCCCGGGGGGCGGAATTCCCCCCGGTTTCGAGCCCCGATTCCCGTTCCCACAGAATCAGGGCCCGGGGGAAACCCCACCCCCGCGTCCGCGTCACCCGGAAGTGACATCGGACACTGGGGGCGGGGCCACGCCATTTGAGGGGAAAACAAAGAGTTTTCCCCTCAAATGGCGTGGCCCCGCCCCCAGCGTGTGACGTCACTTCCGGGTGACGCACACGCGGTGCTACGCGCGTGCGCACGAGGATGACGCCGGCCAGGAGCCCCCCGCTCCCGGCCAATTTTGATTTGGCAACCCTAACAGCTTTAAAGGGTGGATTAAGATAGATTCATGGAGGATAAGTCTATCAATGGCTACTAACCATAGAGACTGAGGGGAACCTCCACATTCAGAGGCCGTAAATTTCTGAATCCCAGAGCCAGGCAGCAACATCAGGGGAAGGCCTTGGCCTCTATGCCCTGTTGTTGGCCAGCTCAGAGGAACTGGTTGGCCATTGTGTGAGACAGGATGCTATACTAGGTAGACCCAGCAAGGCTCTGCTTATGTTCTTATGTCACATTTAGTAGACAGATTTGTCAGCAAATTGTTGTTTTTAACTGCTCATAATTTTTAAATCAATCACAGCTTCATTCTGAGCAATATGGGGGTTGCCTTTTTCTTAGAAAACCATGGGACATCTTTATGCAACAGAAAAAATAAAATAATTCTAGCTAGATTCCACTAAAGTTACTAATTTCTCAGCATGTTTTATTCATGTGGAAATAAGATTTTTCCAAACATTTTTGTCCCTTATTAGGAATACACTTTTTTTGATGAACCAAAGTATGAAAAACATTATCAGCATATGGAAGCGGTTGAGGCAGATGAATATGGCCAACCCCAAAAGTTTTATGACTATTCAGAAAAGAATGTATTTGAGAAGCCTAAGAGTCCTCTTGTAAAAAGCAAACTTACTGACAGCAAGAAATTAGAACCATCTCTAAAGTGGAAGACCATGACCGGCTCCCAAGTGTATGTAATTCTCTGTGTTTTATGTCACACATTGTCAATATATATTAATGATTTAACAAACAGTGTTTGTGATTTAAAAACCTGACATTCACAAATAAATGAATCCCCTATATTTGAAAAACTCTGTTTAAGGGAAGAGTATTTTCCAGTAATAGTTTTCCATAGTTTTTTCTTCTGATTCCATGATCTTCTTAGCATGATTCATATCACCCATTTGAAGTGAGATGCAAAAAACCCAAGTGTTTTTAATTTAAATTATCATCTGTTCCATAATTTATAATGCGTTTAAAGCAAGTAGCAGTATGGTTTGGAAAAGTTAATAAGTTTTGCTTAGAAAGCCTTCAGATTGGTTGGAGTTGGGCGGAGAGGGGAAGTGTAATGAGAGTGTCACTGATAAGAACTTAAGAAGTGATTAGTTATACCAGAATCTAGTCCCTCACTCTGTTTCCCATAGTGATTAACCAGTTACTGCCAGGAAGCCCGTAACCAAAAGGAGAAGTCAGTAGCCCTTTGTCACTGTTGTCTAGCAGAAACTGGCATTTATTAGGAAAACAAAGTTTCCATTTTAGCAACCTTGACTGATAAGTCTGTCAGTCGATTCAGGTGGGTAGCCATGTTGGTCTGAAGCAGCAGAACAAAGTTTGAGCCCAAGGTATAAGCTTTCGTGTGCAAGGACATTTCTTCAGATACAAACTTTGTTGGTCTTAAAGGTGCCACTGGACTCAAATTTTGTTCTGTAGGTTTGTCAGTAGTTATCTGTTTATAGGATGGATCCCCTTTGAAAGCCAGATAGGATAGAGGACATCAAAACTGGAAAGAGCAGAAAAGCAAAAGACAGGATCCAGTGAGCAAGTCTTTGGCTTGAAGCCAAACATGACAACCAGACCACTGATACTTCCGGGAACAATGTCTAACAGGAGTCCAAGCATGCACTTAGGGTACCACTTCCTGTGCCAGTCACTACTAAATCAATCCATACGCTAGCAGGACCTGCAGAGAGAATGTTGTGCCTATGTAGCAAGAAATTTGTCTCAGTCATTACAATAAGAATCGCCTTGTCTTTGTCTGTAAGTGCCCAAGATCTGTTGTTTCTGAAGATAATGTGTAGAAGTTGATAGCCACTTTTTTACCCCTTGGCTGTCATGTAACATTTTCTCTGAAACATGTCAACTGATTTGCATGGGTGTCTTTATGCCGCATTTAAGGCAGATTCCACAAACATGACAATGAGGACAATTTGCAATTTGGATCCCATAATTACAGCTGGCAGCTTAAATATCCACACACCCCAAAACGGGAGAAAAACACAACCCTGCATGAGAAAGGTAACCAAAAAGGTTGGTTCTTTGTTCCAACCTTTTAGCGCAAATATCTACAACCTGGTTCGTGGGTTGAGATCGCCTATATTTAAGCTAGGAGGATTCTGTTGCAGACTGAATTCCCTGTTGTATGCCCTCACGAATGTTTACAACTGAGACTCAAAATACACAGTACACTTGTACTCAAAATACACAATCCAAAATATACAAGTCAGGTGCCTGAGCTGACTTGTAGTCACACACATGATCAGGAGAACTCACCTTCAAAGTGTTTTGTTGCTCTGTTTAGCTTAGGAGTGCTGCAGTGGGGCAGGAGGGGCTTCAGGCTTCCCTCCTGTGCCATTTGTGCCACTGGAAGTGTCCATGGGGGGGGGCAGGCCCTGTTGACTTCTACCTGGCCAACTTTAATACAGCAAGCCTTCTGTACTGTTCTTAGAACAACAAAAAAGAGTTTGATATAGTTATCTTGTATCTGCATGCCCCATTCTGCCAGCACAACAGTGACAAAGGGAGCTCTGCTCAAGTTTGGGCCAATTCACATGTTGTGAAGTTCTTGTGCCCACCAGATGTGTTTCTGTCTGATGCATTCTGAAAATTCCCTAATTCCCAGGCATGTGGGGCCTGCATGTGCTTGGGAAGTCGGTTCCAAGTGGGAAACTCCAGGCACATGACTGATGGAAAGTCCTGGTGATGGCCACAAGGATTTTCTGTAATGTGTGAATTACAGACTATATGTGATTAAATAATTTTTGTATTTGTTGACCATTTTTTTGCCAAGAGCTGCTCCAACCAGATCCCAGTCATGGGTAGAACAGGGTACCATAGACTTAGCTGGAAAATGTTATCAGTTGTGGCAGAATCACTCATTGTCAACATAGCAGGTTCTGGATTGTACCTAACCCTGAAATACTTGTTTAAACGTTACTACCTCCATTTTAGCTCTTACACTGTTCATACATTGAATTTGAGTTGTTTTGTAGCTTTTAATCAAATTTCTATTGAGGTGATTTATTTATTATGCCAGCAATTTTCATGCTATGAATATTGCTAGAGTAAAGCAAAAACCTGAACTGTTTTTAGTATTAGAGAACCATGGCCACAATCCAATGGAGAATTAAGTGTGCTTAAGTCCTCTGAAATCATTAGACTTAGTGCACTTAACTGTCTATTGGATGACGGCCAGTGTTTTAAAATTCTAAATTCAATAGCCTGTGTTGTTAATTTGTAATGGCAACTTTTTAAACGTTCATAAAAAGAGATTCTCTTTCAACCTTCATATATTCTGGCATTAATCAGTTGAAATATACCTCCTTGACTAAATGGATTTTCCAGATAAATGCATGCACAAATTTACAATATATTCACAATAGCACTATGGCTTGTTAACAAACAAAAATGTTTGTATAGAGGCAAAGCAGCAAAGAAAGAGAAGGAAGAAAAGGAAAGCAAATCTTCCCCTTCCGAAGGAAAGAAGAAACCCAGCACAGCATCTTCTCCTTCTTCTAAAGGGTATGTGGCTGTCTATTTGTCTCTTTCTTATGAATTACAAACACATCAGTTTTCAACACAAGCAGTAAGCTAACTATGGATGCTTTCCAAATGACATCAATAGCGCAAAGACTCTACTATTATCAACTGAAGAACTTATGCAGTTGTTTTTAAAACAGAACATTCCCCAATTGTTTCTGCTTCTGTGCATGATCGAAGAGGGAACTCCCAAGCTGAAAATATAAACCTGTTGGTTCTGGCAGGATTGTCTCATACTTGCATCTGCTACCATTTTTCCAATCATGGTAAAGAGAAGATGATTGCTTGGCTTTATTGTACCCGTAACTTGGCTCTTGACAGACATTTCCTTAGCTAGCATTTCTTAACCAGGGTATAGGGACAGATCTCATTTTAAAAAGGCTTTGTCCTTGGAATTTAAATATTCCTTCCAAAATCAACATAGCTGCCTCTCTCTCTCTCTCTTTCTCTCTCTCTCTCTCTTCCCCCCCTCTTTCTCCCCCCCTTAAAATTGTGAGACTAAAGGAGTAAATATCAAAATCTGAAAAACAAACACATACTTCATCAGCATAAAATTGCATTGGTCCAAACAAATGATTTTGAAATCTTTTTTCAATGTCTTATCCTGTATATTAAACACATACAGGCTGTTGTGTTGATGCAGTCACTTCAGCAGTATTTTCTCTGTCAGTTTTATAAAACCTGATACATGGTATAGCAGCTAAGGGTCAAAGTGGACCAGACACATGGAGTGTCTTTACATGGAGTGGTTGTACTTTAATGGAACCATGACAGAGTGGTGTTCTAAATCTAAACAGAGTAGAGGTGGGAGAAGAGGCTGGTGAACTCATCCCTACCAAGCCGTTTTCCTGATCAAAATTACCTTTTTGCAAACTGCTTTCCTACTTGTGGGTAAAAACATACTAGCCCCATGGACCATTTCCTCTGTCCTGGGGCAGACTAATTAGATCATGAAAATGGTCCACAGGAAAAAACAGTAATCACACCTCCCCCTTTCCCCACCCCTTCGGAAACTACTAGTGTGATCAAATTTGAAGCTTCCCCACAGCTAGGTTAAAGTAAAAACTACCATTGGGAGAAACTCTGTATGTCCAGTTTGAAGAGTGTGAGCTGTGATAGAAGGTCAACTTCAGCTGGCCATCTGGGATGTAGAAACAGCAGCGATAATAAGGCAATAACTGACACAGAGGCCTAGGAACATTCTGAAGCACTACATACGTGCAAAGTAGTCTTATTGTTACTATTCCAGTGACACAGCTTGATGTCGTGTGCAGTGTCTTTACCTATTACATTTTTACCTGCCCTTCTTCCATTGAGTTCAGGGTGGCACGCTTCCATTTTATCCTCAGAATAACCCGGCAAGGTAGGAGAGGGTGAGAGTCTGGCCCAAGGTAACTCTGTTATCTGTGTGACTGAGATGGGATTTGAATTCCAGATTCTAATCTGGCATTCTAACCCCAGCTATGCTTTTAGAACATAGATGTATGCTGATGCTGCACATCAACAGCTGTAGTAGAGCCCTTTGTGTGTCTTCTGCATGGAATCATGTTAATATGCAGTAGGAGCATACTGCTGTTTCTGTTTCAATGATGTCTCCTGTAAACTGAAATCGTACAGCAGCTCTCCCTGGTGGGTTGTTCTTTTGGCTCATGCTTATCTGTCCATAACTTCTAAAAGTGGGTTGCTGTGTATTTTTGTTTAGTAAATCTTCAGTAAAAGTTGAAGATGTTAGTGAAAGTTCTTCAGAGAGTGAGGAAGATGAAGAGCAACCTGAACGTCACCAGGAAATAAACACAGATTTGCCATCCGAATACTGGCAAATTCAAAAATTAGTGAAGTATATAAAGGTAAAAGAAGTTTGTTCTTTCTTTAGAAAATGGCAAATAATTTTTTCCTGTTCTTATTATATGGTGTGACTTTTTTCTCACTTATTATTCCCCTAAATTAATTTATATTTTATGCTGAAACTTTAATGTGTTTATTTTCAGTGATACAATAAATTTCTTTCTTAGTTCTGAGTCTCAGTATTCCAGACCAACGGCCATCATCATACCAGCAGTTATGCTTGACTACATAGCTTATACATGGGAGTGGCAAAAGTGATCCTTCAGTGCAACATAACACTTTTGTGAATCATGCCTCCAGTTCTGAATGTCCTTATCTAGTGGTCAGAATGTCATGCTAGACTCTGGAAGACCCAGGGTAAAATCCCCATCCTACCATGGAAGCTTGCTGGGTGACCTTTGGCCAGTCATTCTCGCAGCCTAGCCTACCTCACCGAGTTGTTGTTAGGATAAAATGGAGGAGAGGAGAACAAAGCAAGCCACTTTGGGTCCCCACTGGGGAGAAAAGTGGGGTATAACTATCTAAATAAAACAATCTAGTGGGAGGACAATGCATTGAATTTGCATTTTAAGGTGTAGGAACTAGAAAATAGGACTGTATATGCAGTTCTGAATAAGACTTTAACCTGTTTGAAGCTAGTTTGGATTTCTGATGCTGTACTCTGAAGCACGTTCCGTGCACCTTGGTGTTTAGTCATGCCGGCCACATGACCACGGAAATGTCTTCGGACAGCGCTGGCGCTTCGGCTTTGAAACAGAGATGAGCACCGCAAACCTAGAGTCGGACTCGACTGCCTTTCGAGCAAGGGAACCTTTACCTTACTCTGAAGCTGCTGGCTAGGCAAGCTTGAACTAGCAAGGGAGTTAACAGAGTGTTTAAGAGTGTTTAAGAGGCAATAGCATTCTATCTTTGGAATTAACAAATTACCTTTGAAATTCAGACTGTGAACCGATTATTCCTTTATATTCCAATGAACATAAACCTCCTCATTTACCAGAAATGTAGTTGACAAATTGCACCACTGTTTGCTCCATGGAACACAGACAAATGCAATGCTGGTGACCTTCCTGTATGTTGATTCAAAAGAGGCTCCAGCTGCTACTGAACCCCTCCCTCCCTTTCTGTTTTAGTTTGCTAGGCACAATCACAGTTTAGTTCTCTCTTTTTTAAAAAACTTCTATGCTTTTAGTATGTTGATTCAAAAGAGGCTCCAGCTGCAGTCAAGCCAATGCTACTGAACCCCTCCCTCCCTCCCTTTCTGTTTTAGTTTGGTAGGCACAATCACAGTTTATTTCTCTCTTTTTTAAAAAACTTCTATCCTTTTTAAAAATTGGATTGATTTTATTCAGTTAAAAGTAAAACACCTCAGCCCTACCCCAAAGGAAGAATTGTGAGTTGAAACTTTTTTTGTGCAAATAAGCACTGAAGTATAGATGAGTAGCCTGACTAGATTTGGGTTTAGTTGTAATATATGTCAATCTTGTGTTATATATCCATTGTTGCTCTCCTTTTATACATCATTGAATGTATAGTGTTTTAAAAACTATATGGTATGTTATAAATGCGAGTAGGTAGATGTGCTTATTTTCAAAACCTGCTGTCCAGCAAATTGAGGAAAGAAGAATACCTTTTGGCAATACAGTGACAATTGCATCCCATTTCAAATTTAATTGCACTTTGGGCATTCCAGAATACAAACAATAAACTAACGTCAATAACATTTTAAATATGCAGCATGATTAATTGGGTTTAGAATTATTTTACGTGCCGAGACAAAAGAAAGTAATGGTTGATTGGTTAAAGATTTTCCTAAAAAAGAATAGAATAGTGGCATTCAGCATTTTTTTCCATTTCAAGAGTGAAAGGAAGCTATGACAAGGGAGGTGAGTTGTGTGTTAACATCTGTGGCCTGACCCAACTCTGGTGCTGTGCCACAAGTAGTAACCTTTGCACATTTCCATTCACATCAGAAGGCACATCCAGCTGTTCCATAGGGCCAAATGAACACCATGGTTTGGATGCCCATTTTCCAGATGCACAGCTCCTTGGCTAGATTGGGGTGTCTGTATATGTGCCTTGATGGGTTGTTTGTAGCAATAGCTAAAACGTTTCAAAAGGTAAACTGTGGAGATTTTAATTGTACTTCCAACTTTTAATAAGCAACCCTATATTGGCAGGAGGAAATTTATAGTAATATTTCTGATTTCTTATATATAAGTTATTCTGCAAACTTGATGTTCAGATTCTGACAGCATAAAGTATTGTACATATGGAGCTGCACTTATTTGTACTTCTGGAAACAAAAGAAAATCTGAAAGTACAGCATAAGTCATGTAAGATTTGTGTAAGGAAGAATCTAAACAAGAGCAAAAAAAAATTTCTTCCATAAAAATAAATAAGTTACATACGGTATCAATTTTGTAGAGATGGTGGAAAAACAAAAGAATTTATTGTGCTTTATTTTAAAATGGAGTATCCCCAATTTATTTTCATTTTATTGCATTATCTGTGACTTAACATATGAAAATGCCATAGTGGAATTTCTATTAAAATTAAATAGTATGGCCCTTTATCTTCTATTGCTGTCTGGAATACTGGGAAGAACAGTAGACTTGGTCTGTACAGATAAAACGTCTAATTAAATCCAGAATGTTTCTGCTTGGATGTGAAAGCGGTATAAGGAAAGATAAAACAGATTATGATTGAAAGTTTCTATTGTGTGTTTAAACTGAAAAAAGAGCACATAGAGTGCTGCTGTTGTGCTATATACATGCTTCCCAAATTGTTTCATGTCCGTTACAACACTCATTGAAATGTCCACATAAATAAGCAACCTTACATGTGTGACCACTTCTAATGCACCCTGGTTGGCACTGGGAAGCTGTTTGTGTGAAACTGTAAAACTGCTGTGAACCTCAGGATCACAGGGTGCCAAGCCCTGGACTAGGCTTTCTGGAACCTTCACGGAGAACCAGAATCTCCAACTCACCCACTCAACTCACTAAGGGTAAGCGTTGGGCTAGGGTCAAGCCCTAAAACATTTATTGTGTCCCCTGGTATGTACACACTCATCTGTAGGTTGCCTATCACAACAGGTGTGTGATCTATTTCAGAAGTCATACAAAGCATCTACTTAGTATCTTTATTATGAAAGGCTGTGGAAAGCAATATGCAACTGTGTATAAGGCTAAATAAAGATCAATGATAGTCCCATTTCAGCTTTTAGTGAATCTTGAAAAGTGATATTTTTGTGGACAGTGGGGAACAAGTAGCTGCTGAAGAAAAGAGAAGGGCAGCTTCCCCCCTGCATCCTCAGAAAATGATTAATAGTGAATTGCATTGTCTTCAAATTCTTATTGTGTGTTTAATTGGGCAATATATCCATCACAGTTGCTTTCCAAAATAAATGTTCATTTGCCATTTGTTATCTACTCAATTTAGGTGCTTACAAACATGGAGTGCAAAGCTGAATTGTTTAAAAAACAATCAGAGTCTGGTTTTCTCTAGCCCTTCTCATAAATGTCAACAGTTATAAAATCCTTTTTAATTTGTTTCATTGTTTTTGGTTTGGAAGGATTTTTTTCCACCATGTATGATGTTGCTGTATCAAATTAGCTACACAGATAACAGCTGGAAAATGAGTTATGGATCAGTTATCTTAGAAAGATTTTCTGCATAATCTGTTAACTCGTTACTTCCAATAAAGCTGAATCACTTGCTGAATCACTGTACGAGTCCTTTGTTAGCGCGATCTAACACCTATAGTGAAAAAATACTAAATTATATAGATGGCTGTTTAAAACTCAATGTTGGTTGATAAAGGACAATTTATTACAATGGTAATTCAGGAATTAAAAATATAACCACATGGGAATAAACCGTATTTTAAAAAATCTGAAGTAGCATATAGCAAGAAAATGGAATTAATAATCTGGCAGTTGGATTTCATACCTGCAGTAGAAAGATTAATGAATGTAAAATTCCAAAACTGCCAGACCTTTAAAAAAAACTAAGCATTTTCTCAGTTCTGCTGTTTTGAGTATTTTTAACAGACTTTGAAAACAAGCAGTCACTCCAATTTTGTATGGTAGTGGTCTCCCACAGTGTACACTGTAATTAATTTTTTTCACACCAGCCAAACTATTAAAAATATGACCTCTTCTTTCTGGTTTGGGTCCATGCTTCAGGGAGGGGACTAGGTATCCTGTGCAGTGGGCCACTTATATTTGGAATGGCAGCCTGGAATGTCCTCAGTCCCTGACTAAAGCCATAACTAATTCTGCCTTATACTGAACATAAGAGAACATAAGAGAAGCCAGTGCTGGAGCAGGCCAATAGCCCATCTAGTCCAGCACTCTTTCACGCAGTGACCAAAAATTCCAGGTGACATCAGGAGGTCCAGCAGTGGGGCCAGGACACTAGAAGCCCTTCCACTGGTTCCCCCCCCCCAAAACACCAAGAATACAGAGCATCCCTTGCCCCAGACTGAGGGTTCCTATCTATGCCTTGTGGCTAATAGCCACTGATGGACCTCTGCTCCATATGTTCATCTAATTCCCTCTTGAAGCCATCCATGCTTGTAGCCGCCACCACTTCCTGTGGCAGGGAATTCCATGTGTTAATCACTCTTTGGGTGAAGAAGTACTCCTTTTATCTGTTCTAACCCGACTGCTCAGCAATTTCATGGAGTGCCCACGAGTTCATCTATTGTGAGCAAGGGAGAAAAGTACTTCTTTCCC